AATAAATGCATGTGTTGAAAATTTCAATGACAATATTAGTATCATCCCTGGCTCTCCAGGACCTTTCCACCTTGAAGAAGTATGAGATCCAACCAACAGATCTTCATGATATTCCTGCCAGTGTCGACTTGAGTCAGAATTACCTCTTTGATGATGCAGCCCCTCGTGCATCGCTTGGATTGGGAGTTTCTGAAATAGAAATTGCTGTGGCCCTCCAGCGTCACAAAGCTGTGTTGCCTGCTTCCGCTGCATGTGCTTCTATCCCACCAGCACTTCCTTCAGCTGCAGGTTGTGATGAACCAGCAAAGACAGCCCCGGTCATTCCTGCCCCTGTTCCATCACAAGAGGCCGCTCCGGATGCGGTGCCCAAAGCCAGCGGCCGAGTGCTGGTGGCCCGGCCCAGTGATGAAGGATTGGATGAAGCAGGTGCCGCCGAACAGATCGCAGAGAATTGCAAAATTGCCTTCCAGAACTGTCAGTGGTCGTCAGATGATCCTCTTGACAGCGGCAATGTCGCATTCTGGATGCGGCGCTTCGTTGAGCACATCTCGGAGCAGTTTCGGAGCAGTGGGTTGGGCGTTGAAGAGTGCCTCGTCAGCAAATAGGCTAGGTTGGACACACTGAGAGCAAATTGATTTGCTACTGTTTTTAATTTCCCGTATAGGGGCAAGCTATATGATTATTGCCTACGACAAACTATCCGTTGGATCAGCAGGTTTCTCTCGAAGCTGGAATTACATTCGAAATACCTCATCCAGTATGTCATCAAATGCTTGCTGAACCCTCCGAAGGAGTGCATGGCACATTCGGTTCATATATGCTTGCTTTATTTTTTTAACCTACCTGGTATATAACCTGGTTTGTGACTGCAGCCGAAACCCTTAGCCATTGAATAGAGTGGGAAATAATGCAACGATGTTAAAACATTGCAGCTTCAAACTCTTCTTGGCAGGATATGCCATATGTGGAAGTCCGCGTGCTAGCAGCCATCTTCAAGAGCTTGGAGACGGTGCTGCCTGGGCTAGTTCCTCCGTTGGGCCTGGCCATTTTGAAGCTGACAGAGTACGATTTGGAAGAGAATGCAGAGCTCAAGGTTGGCCTGAGCCTTCAGCAGCAAACTTTGTTCTTCAAGTCCAAGTTGTATTCCACTTTCCTCGGTGCTCGATTTCTTGCGAAATGGGAGAAAGCCCGAAGAAATGTTTCAGCTTCTGTGGAAATCCGGCAGAATGAAGTCAAAGCCTTGCTTGCAGACACAAGCATCAGCCCAGATCAGAAAACTACCTTGGAAATTGTAGCAACCATCTTTGGGAATGCTGAGGATGGAACGAAGAAGCAGTTTGTGTTAGAGAAGCCTGAGCGCTTAGATGTGCTAGCTACCTGGGATGGTGGCCACGAGTTGCTCGAGTTGCGGCCGTTGGTTGATCGCAGCTTCGCCTGGAAAGATTTTGCTTCAGAGCAATTCCTGAAGCTTTCTCTGTCGATTGCCAAATTGAAGGTTTGCGTTGCCTGTGTTGCCAATCCAGTGGTGAAACAACTCCTCGGTGTTCTCGGCAAAATGTTGGGTCACTCTGAACATGCCCCGGCAGAAGCTGCGGCTTTGGTGGAAAGGCTTATCGGCGTGGCATTTGTGGAGATCGCACGGGCAAAGCTGGAGATTGGTGATGATAAGATTCCAGAGGAGGTGTTTCGTTAGTGTTTTTAGTATTTTTTCCCGTTTTCGGGCCTTCCCCAAAGCAGTTTTTTTTGGTGTGTGTGTGTGTGCGTGGGGCTTCCTAACGCCTGCAAGGCCACGCTTGGTGATTTGGCGGCTATTCCCAAAGAATTCATGGCGAAGTTGGCCGCGTGCTTCACTGAGAAGGACCTTTCCTTGGGCTCGGGCAATTCTAGCTTATCCGTCTTGAAAGCTTCCGTGGTGAAGGACGCAAAGCCAGAGAAAGAGAAGAATGAGAGCAAAGGAAAAGATGAGCCTCAGGAAAGTCAGACAGCTCCAGAATCAACGCCGGGTTCTTCAGCTCCAGATGCCAATGCTGCTTGTACAACTTTCCAGATCGGCATGGTGGTGATCACTACGTCAGGCAAACAGAAAGAAAAGTTCAACCAGCAGAAAGGAAAAGTCACCAAAATTTTGACCAATGACGTTGTCATCGAAATGATTTCCGGTCCTGGCCAGGGTGAGTCCAAGAAATTTAAAAAGACGGCCGTCAGTGCTTGTGAGGAAAATGAAAACAAACGGAAGGCTCCGGCACCTCAATCCTCAGACGAAGCCGAAGCCAAGAAGAAGCGCGCTGAGGCGCTTTTTGGTGCTGAGGGATTGGACGAATTTTCCTAAACTTTCAAAAATTCGACCAGGTGTCCTCCACGGACAGATTTTGTGATGTGAACCATTTTTGCCAAAGGCCTTTTGGCTGACACGACCGCGGATGTGCCGAGATGTTCGAAAAAGCGTGGCCGTCGAAACAGGCCAAGAGATTTAATTTTCGGTCGGTTTTCTCCGAAAGACTATACCAGCTTGATCCAGCTTGCATTGGGACAAGTAAGTCAAAGTTTCTGCCCAGGATGAAGTAAAGTCCTGAAACCACGTACTGCAGCTTCTTGCATAGTCTTATCTGTAAGCAAAACAAAATATATTAGATATATATATATATAAGATAATATAATATAATATATATATATATTTATGGGAGTCGTCCTAAAACCCCATGCAAGGGTTTCAGTTTTAGAATGGTGACATCTGCAGATGTGGATGTGTGTGTGTGTGTTTTTCTGCAGTGGCAAAAGGCTGCGAAAGCGCGGCGTAAGGCTTGCGAAAGGTCTGAATACCACTATTTATAAATATATAGTATTCATATATTTAGCAGTTTTCCTTGCAGAATTGCCCCAGGATTCATGTTTCGTATTGTCCTATGTTCTGACAATTGGCAGTGGCACCCTGCATGATTGGCAAAAATTATATTAAAGACACCCTTGCATAAACATTAGTTTCTGAAATTTCATTTTTTAGACGAGAAATCCGCGAAAGGTTCGCGAAAGGTCCGCGAAAGGTTCGCGAAAGGCGAATCCTCCCGGATCCAACCCTGGCCCAAAATGGGCTAGTTCTTTCTGCATTGTCGCAACCTCAAAAGTTTTTTCAAAGAATGGGTGCAAAACCAATGTCCAGAAGTCAAACGTCCTCACAGGAACACTGACTTGCCCAATGCCATCGACTCTGTTGACTGGAACAGACTAATCACGCACAGCAGGAATGTAACTAGAGCAGCTTTGAAAACGGATCTCCAATCAGTAATGTTTTTAATTACAATCCTCCTGTAAATCTTTGTGACGAATTTGCACACGAAAACCGGATCATAATCCCATGTCCCGATTCTGCTGGGGCGCGAAAGGGCGCGAAAGGTTCGCGAAAGTGCGGCGTAAGGGCGGTTTTCGGGTACCATAATTTTGAATATTCCCTATCTATCTATCTATCTATCTATCTATCTATATATATATATATCGTTCGTTCTTGAAATTAGAATTGCGCTTATCAGCCGCTATCTAGCCACTAATGAATATTTGAGTGATCCAAGTAGGGCCCCAAGACTTTCTACCTAAGCATTGGATGCTATCATAGTGTTGGTTGGTTTAGGGTTTATTTAGGTTTGGTTTATGGTTGGTTTAAGGTCATTTAGGATTGGTTTAGTGTTTATTTAGGGCTAGTTTAAGTTTATTTAGGGTTGGTTTAGGGTTTAAGGTTTATTTCGGGTTATTTTAGGGTTCGTTTAGGGATTATTTACGGTTGGTTTGGGTTTTGGTTCAGATTTATTTGGGGTTGGTTTAGGGTTTATTTAGGTTTGGTTTATGGTTGGTTTAGGGTCATTTAGGTTATGTTTAAGTTTGGTTTAGGGTTTATTTGGTGTTTGTTTAGTGTTTATTTAGGGTTGGTTTAGTGTTTATTTGGGTTTGGTTTAGTGTTGGTTTAGGGTTTATTTGAGGTGTTTATTTACGGTTGGTCTAGGGTTTATCTAGGGTTATTTAAGGTTTGCTTAGATTTATTTAGGACTGGTTTAGGGTTTATTTAGGTTTGGTTTATGGTTGGTTTAGGGTCATTTAGGTTATGTTTAGGTTTGGTTTAGGGTTTATTTGATGTTGGTGTAGGGTTTATTCTAAATTGGTTTAGGGTTTATTTGGGTTTGGTTTAGGGTTGGTTTACGGTTATTTTGTTTGGTGTTTATTTGGGGTTGGCTTAGGGTTTGTTTTGGGTTTATTTCGGGTTAGTTTAGGGTTTATTTAAGGTTGGTTTAGGGTTATTTTGTTTAGGGTTGGTTTGGGGCTATTCAGGGAGGGTTATGTTGGGTTGGTTTATGGTTGGCTTAGGGTAATTTAGGGTTATTTAGGGCTATTTATGGTTATTTAGGGTTGGTTTATGGTCGATTTAAAGTCTGCTGAGGGTTGGATTAAGGTACATATAGCGATAAGGTGCGTATAGATAGATAGACAGATAGATAAATAGATGGATAGATAGATAGATAGGTAGGTAGATAGCTAGCTAGCTAGCTAGCTAAACAGATAGATAGATAGATAGATAGGTAGATAGATAGATAGGTAGATCGATAGATAGATAGATAGACGGACAGATAGATAGATAGACGGACAGATAGATAGATAGATAGGTAGGTAGATAGATAGATAGGTAGGCCATGACAACCGTCCGTAACTCGGAAGTTGTCCAACTAAACTTCCTTTGATAATATATATTTAATCAATATCTGAACCCACCGACAACCTTAGGCCAAAAACTTCGGCCAAACCAAACATTGATCTGTCCGACTTGATGGTGCTTAAACCTAAATATGTGTGGGTCATCAAACTACCCTGTTGTAAACTCATTAGATGTGGAAAATCAATGAACATCCATAGTTTCCATGGGAAATCATCTACAAATGCTGGATCTTCATGGGTTTCCCTTATCTCAAAGAATTTACTGCAAGGTATCTGAAACCTAGTTTCACGATGTCGCTCTGCTCCTCACCATCCGCGCCACTCGCCCGAAGATCGCGGATCATGTCTGCAGTGACCTCTGTGAACACCAATGCGAACCTCTGGCCGTGCTGCGGGTCAAGCAAAAAAAAAAACGTCCCACGATCATGTGTACTTGGGCCACCGTTGGTCTCCAAAATTGGAAAATTCCATATGACCCAACATTAAACATGAGTCTTGGTTCGGGCGTGGAGTACTAGGAGAAAGGAGAAAAACCATGAAAAGAACAAACCTTGAATTTGGCATGATCCCCAACTGACAATTGTTAACCGGAAGCGATCCACAGGTCTACTTAAACAGTCTCCTGTGGGCACAGTGGAGAAAGGTAAGTCGAGGTGGGGAAATGTCAAGCAACATAAGACACGCTCTCGCCCAACACTTCCCCATACTCCTGGCAAGGATTGAAGGATGAAGCCACATCCCCAAACATACACGTCACACATATCTTTCTTTCTACATGGCCATGGGTGCATCATGCGCTCAGCTGAGAAGCAGGAATGGGCCAAAACTGGCCCCAAGTTTTTAAACGCAGCTGATTTGTTAAGCAGGTGAGGACCCCCAAGCGTCATAAATAAGTATTCATGAATAATTAATTATTCAATATTCAGGAACGGCATTCACGAATGCAGGGGCAAACCAAGCGAACCAAGGATTAACATGGTTAGCAGGCATGACCCCTGGATTGGCACCGAGGAACACATAGATGATCAATCCCAATAAAACCAGTGCCCAGAAGAGCGACTTCAGGGTGTGAATGGTCGACTGGACCAAGGTGCGAAGCGCCAACACGAAGCGAAAGATCCGGAGCACCCGGATAATCCTTGGGATTCCCGGGATGGCTGGGGACAGCACTTGATGTGGTGTCACAACAGCAACATCAGGCCTCTTTGTACACATACATCTTACACCGCATACATGCACAATTTATGTTTATATATATATACACACTTATATGACACATACATATGATATGTTTGTTTGTCTATTGACACGGATACAACGAGAAAGAGGGAGAGAGAGAGAGAGAGACAGAGAGACAGAGAAAAACAGATTCCCTTCGACACCAACAAAGGGTGGCAACTCCCCACAACATTCCATGATTCATGATTATATCGCATGTTATAACAGGCGGGGCCAGGCTTTAAAGGAAAAAACCCTGATTTCCTCCCGAATTTGGCCCACTTCCAGGCACTTGAGCATACGCGTGATGCGAAGTATTCTGAGCGCGCGCAAACCTTGGTTTTCCGTGTGGATTCCCTGCTCAAAGTTGACCCACCTGATGGTGATGTAGGTTGTGTTGACCCACCCACAAGAAAATTCCAAAAAATAGCGAAAAAAAACAAATCTGGCTGGTGATTCTTAATAATTCTTACTTCAAAAATGTTAGTCCATTTAAGATAATTAAAAAAATATGTGCTTCAAATTTTGATAAATCCAACTCCAACCCCCGTCATGAATCGGAAAAAACATTTAAAAAAAAAACAGGTTTCATCACATGATTCCAAAAAAAAAAACTTACCATCATTGGTTCAGAAGCTTTACTTGCTCCCCATACAATGCCATACACGGACTTGAATACGGGTGCAACCATAGATCCTACTAAGCTCTCTCCTAACCACCAGATAGTTTATGTCCCATTGTATCCCCACTATACCCCATTAAATCACATTTTCATTGGTTATATATATCCCGTGAAATCACCATTTTGGTTGGCTTTCTCTTATGATTATGAAGTTTGACATCCCAATAAATCACCATGTGTCTTGGTTGTATCAAGTTAAACTATCTCCCATGTAATCGCACTTTATCTTCACCATTTTTGTTGGTTTTGAAAAGTTATGTATGGCTATATCCCATTAAACCGCAATTAAATCATCATTATATGAATCGCCATGAAATCACCATTTTGTTGGTTATATCCCATTACGTCACCATTTTTCTCACCATCCTCCCATGAATTTCTCGTGGCAACTCAGCATGGATGGCGTGTTGGCTCCATCCGCCGCTTGGATCACCGCGAAAGCCGTCTCCACTAAGCCAGCCACCACGACGACCTCAAGCCGGTCTGTGGTCAAGGAAGTTACGTCCATATCAAATATGTATACTACACACATATATATATATATAATACAGTTATATATTTATACATGCGCGCGTATTTATACATGTCTCTATATATATATATATATGTGCTTAAAAATACGTGCGCAATTATATATGTATGTATTTAAATATAAACATGGTTGCTGATCACAATTCCTGTATCCGCAAACGGTCATTCTTCGCGGATAAAAATGTTACTTTCACGAAACTTTCGCGAACTCCATGTTTATCTTTCGCGGAGCCCATGTTGGGCAACAACGCCTTTTATGAAAATTCATTCATCACCTGCCAAACTACGCCAACTCAAGAATCACGGATCACTTCTTGATAGCCTTGTAAACATGCAGCTAGCATCACGGAACCCCTTCTCCGGACAGATTGTTGCTGACTAGGCTTTTTGCAGGGTTTACTGGGCCACCCCCTTCAAAATGCACTTTGACTTTCGCCCGCTCCTTCGCAGAACTGCACGGAACTTGCGCAAAAATGACCCCTATTCACCAGCAGAAGGGGCATCAAAGGAAAAGCAAACATTAGGGGCCTTGGTGTTTGGCTCGCTGCATTTGGAGCTTGCTTCTTGGAACTTCAAAAAGCATCATTAGGCAGTGACAGAAGCAGGTGCAAGGATGTGCTTCAGGACCGTGGTGTTTGGCTGTCGCGAAGCCTCACCTTTGGAAGCTCGGCTGCTACCTATGAAGGGCAAGGTGATTGTCCAAAAGCACCACACAGGGAACTGAACCAGAACCAAACCGAAATTCTCCGGTGCCCTTATCCAGGGCGGCAGGGGGTGGCAGCCCTTCACAAGCTATATACACTAGTGATTATAATTTCCAACTTTCACAAAGCTTTCGCGAATAAAAATATTACTTCGCGAACTCGAAAAAAGTTTCGATAGGGTTCCTAACATAACATGAACGGTCTTCGCAGTTAAAACTCTTTACCAGGACCCTTAGATCGATTACCATATATATATATGTCTGTATACATATATATATATATATATACATATATATATATATAAGTATCTATATATATATATAAGTATAAATATAAATATATATATATGTGTGTGTATGGGTGTGCGTGCGTGTGTCCAATACTTGGAAATTATATATTTATATTTATCTTTGTATGGATATATATTTTATATATTTATGTTTTACATATATATATATGTGTGTGTGTGTAAATATATATATATATATATGTATATATAATTATATATATATATAGCAATGGGAGTCTATCAGTTTCATGTTTTTCCAAACAAATACTCGCACTGGATAACCTAGATTTAATTGATAATGTCAATTTCTATATCTCAACGTGTCAATTTTTGCTATCTAGTATCGTAACACATCGTCCATATCACCCGTATCTAGATTGAATTTAGATATGCCAATGGATATCTATGCGTATACACATATTCATACCCACCCAGCTGGCAGTTAGATCAAAAGCATCTATATACATATATATATATGTATATATATATATGTATATATATATATACCAGGTTACCCTTCAACAAAGGTGAGCTCTTCAACGTGTTTGGGCCACACACCCGTCAGAATTTCCAAATTGATGAAGACTACATAAACATACCAAGCTTTACTGAGAAAATGCCCGGGAATGTAGGCCTGGCTGATTTGTGTGGTGTTCTCTGATAAGGTGGCCGATGAAGGCTGAAAAATCAGGAGGCCAGAACTGGTTTTGCACTGCTACTGCTACTGGGTGGCGACCCTCAAGTCTGTAGAACAAATGGCCGATCGCTACAGGCCGAAGCTAACCCCATCCCTCTGTAGTTTCTACAATTCTATGTGTGGAGGCTGACCAATGAAGATGTTGCGTTTTGCTGAGTGACCGTATCCAACCAATTCCAAAAGTTCAGCCTGCAGAAGAAATCCCAGCCGCACGCCACAATCCGCAAGGCAAGCTCCGCCTGAGTAATACGGGAATGGTTACGTCACCAGTGTGATCATCAGGATGTTTGGCCCTCACCCCTGGGATCTTTCAAAATCCCAAAGAAAATTGGCAAAATAGCCCTATCAGAATGCCCTATCGAATCCTATTATCCTATAGCCCGATGCCCGAAGGTGTGAAGCTTCAGCATGGAGAACAGCAGCAAAGAATCTGGAAAAATGATGCCAGGCACCAATCAAGATCAATCAAGGCCGGCCCCCACTCAGCCAAGTGGCTGTGAAGGCAACTGTGAAAATCCTCCGAATGACACTTAATGCCACTGATTCACCATGATGAGCTTGATCAGCTAACTCCAGTTCCACATCAAGGCCCATAAAAATTGTGTTCAAAGCCACAAGGGCGGCGAACAACATGTCGAAGGCTGGATGAATCACCAAGGCTTGACACCACCTGATGGTGGTGCTTCTTGATCTCCTTACCTGGCCGATTTGGACGGAAAGGTGATTAGTCATGGAGGTGGTTGAATATGATGAGTACCGATTGTTTTTGCTGCAGCCATAGCACCCGCACGTGAACTGGTTTCATGCCCCCCGTCCAACACCACGCCCCAGATATACCTGGAGCCTCCCCTTCCCATGCTAACCCCATGATAAACAGCTTCCATATCGGAACCCAACATGAACAGATTCATTTTTTGATGAGCTAATTATTCGAGTTTAGGAGTCAAACTTCCGACGATATGGACGGATGGAAAAGTAGAGGTGAAGGAAGAAGAAAGAAAATCAGAGAAGAGAAAGACAGAAAAAAAAAGATGATCAAGGAGCGCGAAAGGTAGTCGCGAAACACTGTGTTTTTCCATGTTTTTCCAATGTTTGGTGGCTCCGGAGGGTTGACAAGTAGGCTCGCTAAAGCGGCGGGTGCGGAGCCATCTGGTCAGCTGAGAGATGAAAAATTGCACGCCGTTGTGGCGCGAAGCACACGTCGAAGTCAAAACGAACCAAACACATCCAAACACACCATGTGCGGAACACTTTTGGAAGTTGACATGTTGAAAAAGTGCACGCCATTGTCGCGCGACGCACATCTCGGAGCCAAAATGATTAAAAAAAAACATGTTCGGATCACTTTTGGACGTTCAACCGCACCACGCTACACTACAACTACAACTACTGCTATAACTACAACAACGACGACAGCAGCAGCAGCAGCAGCACCGCCACCAACAACAACAACAACAACAACCAACAACAACAACAACAACAACAACCAACAACCAACAACCAACAACCAACAACCAACAACCAACAACCAACCAACAACCACCACAACAACAAACAACCAACAACCAGAACAACCACAACAACAACGACGACGACGACAACAACGACAACAACGACAACAACGACAACAACAACAACAACAACGACAACGACAACAACGACAACAACAACAACAACAACAACAACAACGACAACAACAACAACAACAACAACAACAACAACAACAACAACAACAACAACAACAACAACACAACAACAAACAACAACAACAACAACAACAACAACAACAACAACAACAACAACAACAACAACAACAACAACAACAACAACAACAACAACAACAACCAACAACCAACAACCAACAACCAACAACCAACAACCAACAACCAACAACCAAACAACAACAACAACCAACAACAACAACCAACAACCAACAACAAACAACAAACAACAAACAACAAACAACCAACAACAACAACAACAACAACAACCAACAACCAACAACCAACAACCAACAACCAACAACCAACAACCAACAACCAACAACCAACAACAACAACAACCGCTGCTGCTACTCCTACTCCTACTCCTACCCCTACCCCTACTCCTACTCCTACTCCTACTCCTCCTCCTCCTCCTCCTGCTCCTCCTCCTCCTCCTGCTGCTGCTGCTGCTGCCTCTGCTACTGCTACTGCTACAGCTACTGCTACTGCTACTACTGCTGCTACTACTACTACTACTCCTACTACTACTCCTACTACTACTACTCCTACTCCTACTCCTACTCCTACTCCTACTACTACTACTACTACTACTACGACTACTACTACTACGACGACGACTACTACTACTACTAGTACTAGTACTACTACGACTACGACTGCGACGACGACTACGACTACGACTACTACTACTACTGCTGCGGCGACGACGACGACTACTACTACTACTACTTCCACCACAGTGTTGTTGGAGGGGTCTGCTGGGGGTGTCTGACGAAGGGTATTTCCAGGTGTTTTTGGAATTGTCAATTCCCTTCAGAATGTGGCTCATAGTCAGAAATTGTGACCACTAAGTGGTCGCTCGGTGGGAACTGTGACCACTTGACTTGGTGTGTTCAGCCGCCAGCCGGCTTGATGGCATGGTTGCTACAGAAAAGAGCAATTTTGTGGCTTTCAAATTAAAGAAAGTTGTTCCAAAACCACAAAAAAAAAACACACAATTTGTGGGAGTCCAAACCACCAAAAAAAAACGGTTCTGGGGGGTACCCAATGGGGACAGTGGAAAACCACCGCCAAAATCCATTTTGATCACTATTTGCGAGGTTTTTGGGGGGGTTACTGCACCCACCTTATCTTTATTTAGCTTTTTTTATATAGCTTTATTTGGTTGTATTTAATTGTATTTAGCTTTGCTTAGCTTTATTTAGCGGTCTTTTAGTTTTATTTCAGGGTATTTAGCTTTATGTAATAGTATTTACCTAAATTTCACTTTATTTAAAGACCACCTAATTTCTTGGTTTTGTTCATATTTAAAATTTCACCAGTCATTTTTTGGCTATCCAATTGAATCCACAATACCTCAGACTCAATCCTAAGTCAAATTCCCCAGACAAATTCCAGTTTCCCCCAGATCTCATTTGACTGGGAATGACCATTTGGTTGACACATGGGTTCTGTTACTGCAACTTTTGTGGGCATCACCAAAAGTGATATCCAGCCACTGTTCCAAATCACTATAATGCAATAGACCCTTTTGTTTGGGTGCAAGGGACGAGAGAAGGAAAACATCCAACATTGCCGGTGTGGCTGAAGGCAAAGGCTTTCAGAAACACCAGCTGACTTTCAAAAGATGTACTTTGCATCAACTTCCAACTTTTTGGCATTGTTTCATCAAAATCATGCAAAATCAGGGTGTTTCATTGTTTTTGGATGTTTTTTCATGTGACAAAAGTGGCTATCTTTATTTAAAAATATTTAAGTTTATTGAAGTTGATTTAACTTTATTTAGCTTTATTTAGCCTTATTTAGTTTAAATTTTATTTAGTTTTATTTAAATCTATCTAAATCTATTGAACTTTATTTAGTTTTATTTAAGTTTATGTAAATTCCTGCCAATTTGTGAGGGTATCCATGCCATCTTGCAGTAACCCCTCTAGCACACCCTCTCAACAACCATGTGAGATTCTACTACTTCTACAGCAACTACTGCTACTGCTACTGCTCCTACTCCACTCCTGCTCCTGCTGCTGCTGCTGCTAACTACTACTACTACTACTATTACTACTACTACTACTACTACGACTACGACTACGACTACGACTACGACTACTACCACCACTACCACTACCACTACCACTACCACTACCACCACCACCACCACCACTACGACGACTACGACTACGACTACGACTACGACTACGACGACTATGACTACGGCTTCAGCCGCAACTCCAACTACAACTAGAAGTACAACACACTACGCTACACTACACCACACCACACGACACGACATGACACACGACACGACACTACACAACAACACTAATTACACTACAACTACAACTACAACGAGGCGACACTACTTACACTACACTACAGTTACAACTACAACTACAACTGTTACAGCTATAACAACCACTACACTACGCTACAACTACAAATGCACTACACTACGCTACACCACACTACATCTAGCAGTAGTGGGTGAGGTGACCGCTGCAACCACTCCAAAAAACACAACTCCAACCACCTTTCGGTCCATCAGTGGGTTCGCTTTGCCATCCATGCATCACAACAACTCACCTCTCTTATCTCTCTCTCCCCATCACCTTCTCGAAGAGTTCAGCTAGGCTAAAGGTTTCCTATTTTTGAAACTTCCGCCACTGCCTTGTGCGGTACTACTGGTAGGGAAAGGGATAAAAATATATTCAAAAATCACAAACATGCATCTCACACTCACAGGAGCGCCCCACCTCTGGCCCTTTCATCATTTCCACTGCTGCCACCATGTGTCTAAGACCATGGTCCTTAGCAGCATCCATCATTTGAGCATCCGTTCGACTGTAGGACGCAAACTCCTCAGACATCATACTTCCTCTCCTCTGCAGGTCGTCTCTGCTTTGCCGCATGCGCGTGGCAAAATGCATAGCCCCGCCATGGCTTGAGGAGGGGTTGCTGTTCCGAGGGCTGATGGGGACGAGATCCAATGCATAGGAAGATGCTCCACTGCTGCTGATGGGCATCAACCCTGCTGCCATTGATGCGGAGGGTCTTCTGGATCCACACCAACGTCCTGGCTGGGGCTGAGCCTTCCATGTCTCTGGCCCTTTCTCCAACCTGTGCGAAATCGACTCTAGAAGCTTCTCCTGCCCTTCCAGGAGTTGCAGGACAGTGCCCACCTTGAGGTCAATGAACTCCCGCAGATCCGCATCAGTGCCATCCAGCCCCGGAACCACTGGCTGTAGTGTCTGGCTGCTCGACCGAGGGCTCACAGGGGCCGGCAGGTCGTCTGCAACGCACTGCCATCCCCCAGGAGGGGTCTGCTCTCCGAGGGCCACCGAGACAACCATGGAACTGGCACGACCAGCAGATCTAAAAATTATTGCAACCTTTTTTGAGCCATTCGCAACAGGCCACCCGTGCTCTCAACAACTGCACGCAGAAGATCACAGAAAGATACTGAGAGCCGATTTGAGACTTTGATGATCACACAAGAGCCCTACAGTGCCCCTACAGTACCCTACAGTACCGTACACTATGACAAGACCTGTGAGTATAACAGATTTATGAGTAGCATATCCAGATATCCCCAGTGCGGCACGATGGCATCTGCCTCTCGTTGCGCAGCTTCTAAGGCCCTGCGAGCTTGTTCCAGGCAGCTCTGTGCCGAGGTCAGTTGCCTCAGCCCAGGGAGAGACATATCTAATAGAGTGTACTACAATGTAATATATTGTCGCTACAAAATATGTAAATATATGAAATCAATATAGTATCGGGGTGCCAATTCATTATGTGAAGCTGTGCAGGAGTTTTAGAGCGGTCTAACTTTTGTGCATAGGCCTCAGGCTTTAAAATGCAAAAACAATGAAAACTGGCTCTGCAATAAAATGCCTTGCCACCAAATTCATGCTTGAATGTGCATCCAACATCATCCAATTTCATCCAATTTTGAAGACCCTCAGAAACGCATCTTTAAAAAGGGGTCAGGAAATTCTTTTTAGATAGGGGTATTTTAGAGTGAAGGTGCCCAAATATTAAGTGTTTTTCTTTTTTTATAGCATTTTATAGCAACAAAATACGGTGGCATTCTTTCGTGGCAATTCCTTAAAATTTCTTAAAAATCCTTTAAACTCCTTAAAATTCTAAAAAACTCCTTGAAATTCCTTAAATATCCTTTAAAATTTAAAAACATTAAAGATCCTTAAAAATCCTCCAAAATCCTTTAAAATCCTTAAAATTCCTCTAAGATTCCTTAAAATTCCTTAAAACTCTCTATATAAATTCCTTAAATTTCCTTATAATTCCTTTAAAATTCCTTAATACTCCTTATAATTCCTTTGAAATTCCTTAATATTCCTTAAAATTCCTTAGAATTCCTTCGAATTCCTTAAGATTCGCTGATCTAAAATGACATGCCCAATAAAATCGATATAAAAAGATCCTGGAAAAACACTGGTTCCATTCTGCAATAAAATGCTCCAAGCAAACATTTTTTGCAATAAAATGAGAATGGAATTTTAACATGTTAAAAATCATCAGGATTTACCTTTACAATAAAATGCTTAGCCCAACCCCCCAACAATAAAATGACTAGCCTGACATCAATTTTAAAATTCCAATGCATTAAGAATTTCGTTTAAACTATGCACAGGTTCACCAGTTCTAGAGTGGAAATTGCCACGGGGTTAATATAGTGAATTATAATACAATATAATATAATGGAATAGAATGTAATGTATCATGGTTGCCAACGCTGAGGACTGAGGAGCTCTTGAGCTCGTATATGGCGCTGCTGCGCTGCATCAAGGGATCGCTTTTCGACCTGGACGTCGCAGCTGGGTCGCATCTGCCAATGGGCACCACGTATGTTGTCGCGCTATAGATGGGAAATCACCTATAAATCGATGTGGTTATGTGTTGTTTATGAGAAAAATATCTACAAATGGTGGATTTTCCACTGCCATATTTGATGACTAGAGGGTATAGCACAAGCTAATACCATAGCATAGCACACCACAAAGCCATGCCAAAAATGATGAATAACATGGGACATGGGTTTCTTCGTTCACTTTCAATCACTTTCATTTAATCATACTCATGCTCAAACTCACCTTGCAACTCTGAGCACTGTGGTCATGACTTGGTGGTTGGAATATGATTGAACTTCGATGGGGTTCGCTATCCAATAGATTAAACAGAAAACGAATAGAACGCATTGGAAAATTAGATGATTAAACCAAAAGCCAGCTGGCTAACGTCATTACGATCGGTTGTATGGGCTAGCGGTCAGAGATGGTCAGAGTACATCCCAATTTTCTCCACTTGCTGGTGGAATCCCAAACAAGATTCAATCCACCTATCCATTCCCAGTGCTTGTTGATTCGGTTTGTTGCTTCTGATTATCGGACTATCCGTGTTGTATACTGTCTATCTTACCGGGGCTTGTTGATTCATCATGTCCTTATGGGTTCAGAATCCTTCGAGATCATATTCATCTGGGCCACTTGGACCACTTCCTCCGACTTCCTCTACTTGGCTATGATTAATGATGACTGCAGGGAAAAATCCAGGGAATACCTCCTAAACCCCTGGCAGATGCGCCCTATGTTTGGTGTCACTAAGATGGTTTCCAACAGATCCTTCCGAACAGTGAACCGATCCACTGGGTTCAAGCCTCATTGATCCCCAGCAGCTAAGCATATTTTAGCATTGCCCAGGTTGAACAAGTCGATGCAAATTTTCGACTCTAGTGATGCCGAAGGGTGAACGCCTCACTTAAAACCCTTCTTTTTCCTTCTGAAATCTTGAGGAGAGAAACAAAAAACTCCTGTTTGGTTTGCATTTGCATCCCCCGTTTTGCCAGGTTAAAGCCGCATTTTGCATCATTTTGCTGGATTCCATCCCAGTCATTCCCCAGTCAACGTGGTGCTTAACCCTCCACTTGACCTGGATTCCGCACCTCATCCTGCCTCCCCTTAGCCTCTGCAGTGCTGCTGGCTGTGGCCTGCTGTGCACAGGCCACCTCCAAGATCTCCTGCAGGTGGAGTGGCCAAAAGTTCGATTATTTGACTATCTCAAATGGTGATTCAGATCACCTGAAATGGAATGTTAATAATGCCATATTTATATTTATATATATATAGGTATATAATCCCCTCCCCCTGGCATTGTAAGATAGTGTAAGAATACCCCACTAAAACCCTGATTGTATTGGATCCATTCATTTGGTGAGGTGGGGTTCGCTTCAACCGGCTTGTAGCTGCATCAGAATACTATGTACATGCAAGGTTTTGAGAATGAATGGATGTTAGCGGTGATCATTCCATATTGAAGGATGGAATAGGATGGAAATGTTGAAAAGGATTTGAAATCACCAGCCGGTTGCGATGATGACGGTAAATAAACTTTTTGCTGACCCGTGCGAACTCTGAAATGGAATACAACTGTGAATACAACATAACTCACTCAATTATTTTGCCAAGCTTCGTGAAAGCCCCTTTCTGCCAGTTTTGGTGACATCAACCATAACTGAGATGCATAATGTCTTAACAACTCGGAAATACTCGGAACATCTACAGTAGTTGTACTATGTTGTACTTCTCTCACGCTAGACTTCTGAACAATCGCAAAAGCAGCGGAATCACGGCAGCTAAAGTTGACACAAGCACAAGCCTATTTGCCACCTTTAGTTAGGGTTCCAAATACACCAAAGGAACCAGGAACAGCTAGAATAACAAAAGGCGAGGCGGACCCTTCCAGTTCTCGTTCTCCATTCCCTCACCTGGTTTTGATGACTGACCTCGTTTATAAAGGCCGCGCTATACGTATTAGTGTTTGTATCCTCGCCTTCAATATTACCAACCTCGTTTTGTCCTCTGATCATTGTCTGGGGCTGTAGCGACATAGTGCGAAGGCCCGAACAAATCCAAAAGTAAATCAGCAGGGTTAATCATTCTACTATGTTCTACTTTACCCGAAGAAAGGGCACAAATACAAGCAGTTGCTCTTCTAATTGGTAACTGGTGGTAACTGTCAGACCCCAAAGTTAGATCACCGACTACCACCGCAGCTCAGGGAGGTGCCTGGGCTTTCAAATGCAACTGATCCAGGTGTTCCCTTTGCGAGGCTTTGCCGCAGAGGCGTTTCTTGGGCGGCGTCTGGGCAGGCTGTGCTTGTTGGTGGTGAGTTGATTTGTTGCAAGTTGCTGTACTATAATCTGTTGTGCAAATTGCTCCAAGATTTAAAAATTATTATCCAATGTGCACCAATGTGCAGTGGCTACAGGAATTAATACTTGTCAAAGATCTGGGAGGTGGTGGAGGGCCCAGAGGAATCCATCTAAAACAAGACTTAAGCGACCATGCCGGTGCTGGTTTCAAACACGGTGAACAGCAGCAAACCTTGTCTCGTCGTGCTTGAAATCTGCTAAGCGCCTCATGGACTTTAGAACTTTAGAACCACCAAAAACCACCAATAATAATTTCACAGCCTTTTCCAACAGAAAATGGTCCCCACCCTGACCTCTGCAATGCCACTCTTTGCACGGCGCTTCATGGCACATACGCCAAAAAGATCGATTGGACCGCTGCCGGAAGGATCTTGCTGGGTTATTGGGATGAGGGTTGTTTTCAATTCCGTTTTCAAAATGCATTGGAACTGGCCCCATGCATCATATACAAAGTATAGGCAACTCTTATGATCTCTTATGCACATCAAAATGCACTTTAGTCCATGAACCAACCTTGGTGAAGCTGGCGACAATTTGGCGTAACTGCAAAGCCCGCTAAAGCGAGCCTTGACTTGCTTGAGCCTGAAAGAATGAGCACTTCAGGCCAAAAGGAACCTCCTCTATATATACTATATATATAATACAATATATTATCTATCATTTCTATATGTTTCTATATCATCTGCATTCTTTTTCACAGTGGTTCGCATTATTTCATGCTTAATTCACACAATTTCATATTTCACACTCATTCTGATGATCTGGACCCAAACGTTGGGCCCACGCCCAAGGGAGATCCAGCTGCACGGGCATTGCACACGCATTGCAAAGGCAAAGGCCACAAGAACAGCTCCACTTTTTTCCAGGGCAAGCCGCGGCCCCGTTAGCTCCTCCAACAGACGCCGCTGATGCTCCTGGTGTCCCGCCCGCAACAAAGGATGGCAGCGCCACAGCATCTGGCGCCGCGGGGGGTGCTTCAACTGGAGGTTTTTCGGGTGTCGGTCGCATGGTTTTATGGTTTCTACGTTCGCAAGGTCTTGGGATGCCACGGGTATGTACCCATTTCATCCCATATCATCCATTCATGGATGATTTCGAAGGTAAGAACCTCATGTATGAAAATGGATGACCTTTTAGGTCTCAAGGTAAATCACCTAATGTAAAAATCTAATGTACATTAAGGGATACTTATATAATGATTATTCATTATTATTAATGTGCTATCTATCTCGGGCTGAAATTGCCAGGCGCAGTTGACTCAGTTGACCCTACCACCGCGCGCCTCCCCTGAGAGGCCCGGCGGTCGGCATCCAGGGCAGCAACCACAAAGTTCGCTTGGCAACAGCGCCTTTGTGCAGGAAACCGCCATAGGTGGGATAAAATGGGATAAAATCATGTAAAACCCCTGGTTTCCTATAGGCTATAAATATCTAAGTGGGTCTTACTACCTGTAGGGAGAAAAAGATCCGATATTTCAAGCATTCAACATTAGCTTAACAAAAAAAAAACATTTCAAAAAACTCTTCAAGCCAATGCATCACCCTGTCAAATGAATTATACCAGCACATTGTGTTCAAGCCCGCTCTCTCTCTCTCTCTCTCTCCATCGCCATCTCAGGAGATCAGCAGTCAAGCTGAAGGGGAGCTAAAAAGGCGACGTGGCAGGTCAGCGCCCAAGCTCGTTAGCCAGGCACGTCATATCACCAAGCCACCGCAAAGGTAAAGTACAAATTTCTGTTGCTACACATAAGGGGTCAAAGGGGTGAAAATGAATAGGCAAAGATCCTAGCAAATCGGGCAGCCTCTCAGCACGTTAATCTTGATTGAAAAGAAGCACCTCCAAGTGAAGAGTGCTGGGCCGAAGCCACCCTGTTGCCAGAAAACGTTCCAGGTTGTCGTGACTGGATTGAGTGTCCACTGGTGCCCGGTGGCAGCGCCAACCACTCACAAACAATCAGCTGCTGACCATGGAACTTTCCTGGTAAGCAACGCCTTTCCCACAAGTATTTGGTGCTAGAGGTAGCAAAAACATTGGCCCCAAAGAGCTCGGCAACAGGCAAGCCGTGTGCAACCAGCCAGCCATGCTCCCTCTCTGCCCACTGCTGGCGGCAGGCTGCCACACCAGCATCAAGTCCACAATGGTTGAGATACCGGAGGACATTTCCGTGCCCACTGTTATTTGGCCCAGTGCGACATCGGCGGATCCCATGTGCAGTCACATCAGAATGTTGCAGCTCTGTAAAGCTTTGCCTAACAAGGTCAATGCTAGGAAGGCGGAGAACATGCCCAACCCATCTCCACACCATCTTGGCTAGGAGCGTCCCAAGTTTCAGCGTAAGTTCTGGACCACAACTTCACAGCATGAGATAAAGTGGCAATGCATTCACCAACAAACCAAGAGTTGTGAGCACGAGCACCCAACGTCCAAGCAAGGAGAGTGACATGATGGATCCGGAGCTTTCGGAGATTGGTCTGGTTCACAGAGACAACGCACAAACACCATCTGATGGAAGCACTGACTAAAGAGTTGAACAGGCGCAGGCGCACAAGCCGGCAAGCAGAACAATGGGTAAGCAACCTTCGGTTGGTGAAATACGCGGTGGTGGCCCTTGCACACAGGGAATCAACCATGTGTTCATCAGTCTCAACCACCTGTAATGGCATGCCCAAGTAAACAGAAGTAGCCTGCGCAGGGAAAGTTCCAAGGAATCCTGGCAAACAACGGGGCAACGACGAAGCAAGAAGACAGGATTTCGAGACATTGATGGATAAGCCCAGGTTCTGCAGAAGGTCAACGACAGCAGGCATCAAACGAAGGAGCTGGGACAGAGTCCGAAAAATGAAGATGGAGTCATCAATCAACCACAAAGCCCACAGCGCTAAAAGCGAGGTGAGGAAGGCTGGACGTTCTCCACAGAGCAACCACTGATCACTGAGCTGGTCGAAACGGCCAGAAAGGACACGACCAAACAAGGTAGGACTGTGACTACCCCTTTGCTGTGTACCACGACCCTGCAAGCACCACCACGAGGCACACTAACAAACCTTAATTTTGGAAGCTTTTAAACCCCCAGCACTGGCAAGATCGGGCCTGGCGTGTTCTTTCCGTTGACCGCAAAAGATCATACCCCCATCATTTTGCCGCCCGAGTCTTTGAAAGTTGCAACACCCCCCCCATCTGTGAAATTAATTGAAATGATGTAGGTATTTTTTCATAAATGTTACTGTAATAAATGATCATATAATATCATATAATATCCCCAAAGATCCCCAGATCTTCGGTTCGTGAAACCACTGCTTTGCTTCACAAAACAGCTGCCTGCGAGTCCCAATCGGACCAGCTGTGCCACGAGTCGCCCCGCAGCTCCTGGCAATGGCGCCGTCCAAGCGTTGGACGTGGTATCTGCATGTGTTTTAATGTATATAAGTTGCTCTATCAAGAACATAGTATACACGGACGCATTTAAATGTGCACATATGTCTCTGTATATATGTAAACTGATACATGTCAAGTTGCAACAAACATGATAATATTGTGTATGGAACTAGTATGCTATATCATGCTATATCATAGTTGTTGTGCAATATCATATGACGTGCATTGCCTTGTGTCATGTCATGTCGAGTCGTGTCATGTCACCTAATGATTTTTATGTTGTGTTATGTTATGTTATGTATAGTCATGTTATGTATAGTTATATATAGTTATGTTATATATATATATATTTATATATGTTATGTTAGGTTGCGTCATATTATATTATGTAATTATGTTGTGTATGTATGTGTGCATCTGTGCTCTATGCTGATGGGAATTGAAAGCAATGAAATCCGACAAAATTGATGAGCATTGATGCAAATTGGAGGGAGACTTGACATTGGAAAGTAGCAGTTTCCATCCGGATCAAACGATTCAAAAGGAGCCTGCAGCAGCTGTCCCTTGTCTGCAGTGATGCTCTGTGCCAGCAACAGTCGGTGACGATGCGCCAGAGATCTGGCTGTTGCCATGGGCCAAGAGCTGGCAAATTCCGAGGAGAACATGTCCTGTCCAAATTCAGGTGAGATCAACGTGAACCATGAGGTGCTTGCTGTACGTGCCGCAGTCATCTAGTCAGGGTGGAAAATGTCAAATATATTCAAATATATCCAAATTATTCAAAATACATCAACGTTTGAACCCATGCAAGGTTTATATATATATATATATGTGTGTGTGTGTTTTTATCTTCTAAGCAAAGCGCCACATTGCTGCAGCCTTTCCACAACCAAAATTCTGGATGAATCTGCTCAACGGTTTTCAGCTCACCTGGTCACATGACTCATTGACTTGCATTGCATCGACGCAGAGATAGTCCTTTCCAACTACGACGAGATATTCACCTGAAGTGAACTCACTAACCATGTTCCTCGGGGCTAACTGCCTCGGATTGTGTGGCTTGGAGTGACTTGGAGCACATTCGTAAGTAGTAGGTACGATCACTGAGCCAATGTTCAAGACAATTGGTCCATTTGGCTATTCACTATAGTTCGAATTTCAAGCCCCAGTTCCAACAATCTCATCTAAACGCATCTAAAAAGACCCCATCTCGGGCCAGTTGGCCCATCACGGCATCATTGCAGTCGTCCTGAAGGAAGAGCAGAGCGTTCTTCCCCTGTGGCGCAATCTGCTCAGGAGCCGCAGTGGAGAAATCCACCCCTGCGCACCAGGAGACCTCAGAAGGCAACGCCTCCTGCATATTAATGGATAACCAACACTGCTTGCTTTGGCACATTCACCAAGATAATCGCTGTATAATTGACTGATATTAACTAGTTACTCACCAATTAGATATTCTGAATAAGTACCAAGAATGGATGAATCAAATCAATCAGCCAACCAACCCAGCTCTTTGCCATACTCCGCAGGATCCAATTTGCGCTGAGGAGCTGGAGTCTTCAGCAGCTTCCCTCGCACCTGGTGGACTCAGACCACACAGTTGCCATCCCAAAGCTGTCAGAGTTATATATATAGTTGACCCAAAAAATAACGTTGCAGGCCAGCCGGCTTTCCGGGCACTTGCCACCTCTTCTAATTATATATGCAGAAATGCTTCATGAGACTTCTTGCAGCTGGACCTGTCAAGTCTCCGTCCCTCCGAGAATATAATGCTCAATTCTGGGGTAATTTCACCGTAGAACATCTCGCACCACCTCCCTGACAGGATTTCAAACCGTAGCAGCCCCTCACCTGATCGAAGGTCCACTGAGAAGAGAGCCAGCCTTCTCCGTACTGGTAGGACCCAACGCCTCAGGCACTTGACGATAGAATTGTTTACTGTTAGAATCTGAAAGTCGTCGTCATCATCATCATCATCATCATCAACAGCGGCAGCAGCAGCAGAACCATCATCGGCAGCATCATCACCATCATCGACATCATCACCATCATCATCATCATCATCAGCAGCAGCATCATTATCATCACCATCATCACCATCATCGGCAGCATCATCACCATCATCGCCATCATCACCATCGTCACCATCACCATCATCAGCAACAGCATCATCATCATCATCATCATCATCATCATCATCACCACCATCACAACCACCACAACCACCACCACCACCACCACCATCATCATCATCATCATCACCACCACCATCACCATCACCATCACCATCACCACCACCATCACCATCACAACCACCACCACCACCACCATCATCATCATCATCATCATCATCACCACCATCACCATCACCATCACCACCACCATCACCATCACAACCACCACCACCACCACCATCATCATCATCATCACCACCATCACCATCACCATCACCACCACCATCACCATCACAACCACCACCACCACCATCACCATCACCATCACCACCACCATCACCATCACCATCACCACCACCATCACCATCACAACCACCACCACCACCACCACCATCATCATCATCATCATCATCATCACCACCATCACCATCACCACCACCATCACCATCACAACCACCACCACCACCACCACCATCATCATCATCATCACCACCATCACCATCACCATCACCACCACCATCACCATCACAACCACCACCACCACCACCATCATCATCATCATCATCATCATCACCACCATCACCATCACCATCACCACCACCATCACCATCACAACCACCACCACCACCACCATCATCATCACAACCACCACCACCATCACCATGACCATCACCACCACCATCACCATCACAACCACCACCACCACCACCATCATCATCATCATCATCACCACCATCACCATCACCATCACCACCACCACCACCATCACCATCACAACCACCACCACCACCACCATCATCATCATCATCATCACCACCATCACCATCATCATCACCACCATCACCATCACCATCACCACCACCACCACCATCACAACAACCACCACCACCACCACCATCATCACATCATCTTCTCACCTCCATCACCATCACGCATCACCACCACCACCACCATCACCATCACAGAGCCACCACCACCACCACCACCATCATCATCATCATCACCACCATCATCACCATCACCATCACCACCACCACGCACCAATCACCATCCCCACCACCACCATCACCACCATCATCATCACCACACATCATCAACCACCATCACCATCATCATCACCAACCACTCACCATCACATCACCACCCCGACCATCACCATCACAACCCACCACCACCACCACCCCATCATCATCATCAATCATCGTCACATCACCATCACCACCACCATCACCATCACAACCACCACCACCACCATCATCATCATCATCACCACCACCATCACCATCACCACCACCAACCACCACCACTCACCACCACCACCACCACCACCACCATCATCATCATCATCATCACCACCACCATCACCATCACCACCACCATCACCACCACCATCACCATCACAACCACCACCATCACCATCACAACCACCACCACCACCATCATCATCATCATCATCATCACCACCATCACCATCACCATCACCACCACCATCACAACCACCGCCATCATCGTCAGCAGCAGCGGCAGCAGCAGCAGCATGAACAGCAACGGGTGCTTCACAGGCACCATCTTCGGGCAGCCGCCCCTGGCTTCCCAAGCCAGATCTGGTGCAGGTTGTTAGCTGTTTACGGTCTTCGCAAGGTTGGAGCCGTGGAGTGTGCCATCCCCACTGCACCACCCCTTCCTGGTACCTGGGAGGATAGGAGGGGCCCTATCCCAAGCTACACAGAGTAAAACTTGGAAGCAGGGACTTGATAAGGGAACCATGGGGAACCTAGTTCACCACACTCACCCATTTTTCGAACTTCTGTTTTTCAATCGTTCCAGGGACCGCTGGAACCCAGGTAGTATGGGAAGTGCATTTGAAGCCTATAGAATTGGGGTCCCATCATTGGGGGGCCCTAGAATTCCATCGCATCTGTGCACCGGAGGATGAGTGGATGGGTACACTATGACTTTAACATTCACCTGCAGTAGCTGCTAGGCTAGTAGTGTTCGGCTGTCACTATATCTGTAGCATCACTTGAAGGTGCAGGAAGTGCAAAAAACGTTAAGGGATGGAACCCTGCTGAGACATCTGACACCAGCTGCAGCTTTTATGTGTTTTATGCTCACATGGAGTCATATCTCATATACATTCATAATTATACATGATTAAACAAGCTCTCAGCACGATTGGGCCCTTAAGACTTTTCGGAGCAGAGTACATTTTGGTCGCATGCCCACCTGGCAAAACATTGGCAAAACATTGGCAAAACCACAAAATGATTCTTCCATCCCATGGCCATCAGCAAAGCTGCGGCATCAGGATCCTGCCATACACATCTGCAGAGCCTGCAGACATGGCTCCCTGAGCCTTGTCCCTCAAAGTCCTTGAGATTGGCTGCTGCAAATATTCCTGACACTTTGGCCGAACGGCTACATGGCTACACATCAAAATATCATCAAATTTCTGGGTTCCAAGTCTGTGGATGCCCAATACCTCCCGAAAAGTAGGTGAAATCATGTGAAATCCAAACCCTCTATGATTTAACAAGCCATCTCTACGGTCTGGGCTCCCAACATTCAAGTGGCCCCCGTCCCATCATGTTCCCCCTGTCTTCCGCAGCCCTCTGTGGCCTGTTGGTTGGAGCATCGCAGTGGGAAGCCCTGCTGTTCTTCAAATGTCAATACGTCTCTCGCAAAGAGCTGTGAGATGAAGTGCTGCGGCGAGCGGGAGGCCTGAGATGTGGCGTAGGGCGAAGATGAAGGGCCACTGCATTCAGAATCCCAGAGCATCCCTGCCAGGTTATGATCAATCCATGTATGGTCTATATATCCATGTCAATCGCTGGTATTACCGGTATAGCTCCTTGGCTCTGTGAACCGTGCAAATCATCACTGGTCCCAGCCTTGATGAGCTCAATCAGCATCTTGCCCCATGCGATTGCACATGGATTCATGTCAAAGAAGTGAATGTGCTTCACTTGCGGCAGCACCTCATAAACCAAAGTTCACATCGTGCGATCTAGAGGCGGTTTTTTTTGTGGGATCTTGTAATAAGCCAACACATCCAAGACATTCAAAAGAGTAGTTCGGTGAAGATATTCAAGAAAACACGGGTAGATCATTTGCTTTTGGTCCAACACGCTGTCAACAGAGAAAAATGCTTACCTCCCTAGGCACGGAAATAGAAATCCATCCCAGCTACCCGATTTCTTCTCGTTTGAAGCTAGGAACCATCAGCAAGTTCACTGCCGTCAGTGATCCAGCCACACTGACCAACTGTTCGACGTTGAAGGCATCTGCGCTACGACCCCAACGCACGAGACTCAAAATGATGTGCAGCAACTCACCTGTTGACAGGTGTTGGAGGTGCAGCCCGAGAGCTACGGTATATCGGTATCAATTGGGTCGATTCAAAAGAACACACATTGTGCATGCCCAATATGCCCATCCTAAAAAGCCATAGAAAACTCGCCAGAAAAATCCCTCCCCAGCCCCACCTGGAGGATCATTGAAGGCCAGGTAGCAATCCTTCCAGCCCTCAAAGCGCCAGGAGCTCCGTCGCCAGCCCGACAGAGCCACCAGCTTCCGCACCATGGCCGTGGCCGCAACACGGCCGTTGCATGCTCCAGTGGTTGACACAGTTGGGGCATGTTGGGGCGGTGGAGGCTCCAAAAATTTGTCTATTATCTCATGGCCGGGTGGAAAATCAACGAGAATGAAACCACCAAAATCCACCCACAACTACTCAGCAAATTGATAGATGTTACAATAAATCGTGACATATTGCGATTATAAAAACAACATCGGCCAGATTGGACCTGTCTCCTAGAAGTGTTCTGCAAGAAGGACGACGCCATGCAGGCAAAAGTTCCAGGGATGACTATGCCAGCTAGTAACTGGCAACTGGTTTCCATGGTTAAAGCGTGTGGAAGCCTAACTCGGAAGTTGGTTTTTTCCCGCATGTTTCCAGAAGGGATTTACACATACTAACCCTGGGATGAACATCCACGCACGCCAAGTCTATCCCAGTGCCTATGCATCCTGCCCAAGCACCTCGCTGATAAGGCTCTGTTCAGCCATGGAATTCTTTCAACTTCTGATGCACCTGAAGCCAACTGGTGGTTGGGGCCTTCCTTCACCTGTAAGGAGCTTTCCAAATCAAAGGGGCAAGCATGGGCAAACCCAGACAGTCTGAAAGGTTGCACTAGAACATCAGGGTCAATGCCAGGCACCCTGGTGCAAACCAATGCTCAAGGTCACCTCTGCAGCAAGACCTTTCAATCTCAAAGCCTGGCAGAATCGTGGCAGCTCGACTATCTTGCAGGGGTGAAAAAGGAAGCATCCAAATCCGGTGCAGTAATCAAATATGGCTATGAACCACCCCGTCTACCAGTGATTTACGCATAATTGGGATCTCGATGGGATTGTCCATTGCTTGGATTAGCAGAGGGTACCTTGACGTACCTTGGGAATGTTTGTCCGATGATGTTGCGCTGTTTTGATGTTAGATGATGCTATATGGTGCTATATACTATATGCTACTATATTGTATGAACCATTCTTGATTTTGACGCTCAGGCTGACAGAATCTAGTGAAATATGATGAAAAATCAACCACCAACAGCTGCGATATGTAAAGAGCTCATCTTTTGCCGGCTCGCTGATCTGTATCTTCCACATGGCTGTTCACTTCCCCTACAGGTGAGTGGGAAGTTGCCAGCATCCAAAGCAGTATCTAACAGGTCTACCACTGATGGCGAAGGACTTGCCCGGTGTCCCTTCTTAGCACAAAAAAATGCCCATTCTTTCCGATGCTGTGACCAAGTATGGTTGTAAAAGCATGTTAAAACCTTCTCCAAAGGCAGAGCCTTTAGGGTGAAGTCAAGATCTATAAGGAGGTATCATCATTGCTTTTTTATGGAAAATGCATCAAATGGTTGAAAGCAAATGTTGTATAGCTAGTTCCAGTAAGACTGGTTTCTTCTGAGCCCTTAAAGACTGGAGATAGGGGAGGTGCAACTCACTTCTCAACATCTCGATTGCTCAAAAATTTGGTGGCATAGGCCAACAACGATTTTCTTTTTGAGCACTCCATCCAACCATCCATTGTTGGTTTTGTTTCCTAAATTCTAACCTCTAACCATATCTAACCATCCTATCATCCATTTTTGGTTGTGAATAGACCATTTCTAACCATCCTATCATCCATTTTTTGGTTGTGAATAGACCATTTCTAAATATCCTATCATCCATTTTTTGGTTGTGAATAGACCATTTCTAACCATCCTATCATCCATTTTTGGTTGTGAATAGACCATTTCTAACCATCCTATCCATTTTTTGTGGAAAAAGAAGCCATCCATTCCCACATGACATCAATCTCTGGACGCTCTGAGATCAGGAGCCCGCACTGTTGGCGGCCTCCTCGACCGGAAGCACCAGCGCAGACAGGAGACAGGCTGCCGAGTCAAAGTAGCAAGGTTGATGGGGGATGCAGCCAGTGAATCACATTTAATCTTGTTACGCATATTTTCCACACTACATGTATTTGTAAATATATATATATATACAGATAGTAAATGTATGTGTATATATATAAATATGTGTGTGTGTGCGTCTTTGTGTACTGTATGTATGCATGTATGTATCTGCGTGCATGCATGCGTGGATGCGTATGCACGTACGTACATACGCACGTATTGTGTATGTCTGTATGAATGCATGGTATGCTCTGGTGTGCTATGGTATGCTGTGGTCATGCATGGTATGCTATGGTATGCAATGGTATGCTATGGAATGCTATGGCATGCTATGGGATGCTATGGCATGCTATGGGATGTATGATATGGTATGTATGTATGTGTATGTGCATATGTAAATGTATATGTATATGTATGTGTATGCATATGTATATGTACTGTATATGTGTAAACTACATAATACGCACATGGGTATTTGTTATTTTCATATTTATGTACCAATACATGCACGGACATGTAGGTAGGTCGACAATTACGCGCTTCCTATCGAATCTATTTATTTGTTCATGATTTGTTTGTCACTCTACCAATCTACATAATATTAATAATTGTGTTTATGCGTACTTGGGATGATCCCAGTCGAAGGTGCTAGTCTTGCAAGTTTCCGCCTTCTGGGCAGCCATTTTGTTGTCATCCTAGTCTGATCACATCTGACCAGAAAGTGCCTTTCGGATACGGTGAAAAAGGAAAAAAACGTCTTGAAATGACCTGACCTATCATGTTTGATCTCATGGAGTTTGACGTGTCATGATGTGGGTAAGCCGCATAATAACCAGCTTCAATTTTCATCAAATGTCACTAGAAATAGTATGAAATACTTGGCACAATCATCTGATTGGAAGTTTATGCGATAGAGTTTAGTTTACCCCATGACCTATCATCTTGGGTACAGGTTTGTGAAGCTTTCGGTTTTCTTCAAAGATGTGCAGTTGCCAACTGGTCCATGGCACTTTCGTCAACGCAAGGCCGAAAAACATCCTGAAACGTGGCACACGGCGCAAGATCTGACCAGGTCACTGGCCCAGCGAAGCTCTGTAGCAAGACCACAAAATCTTGCGGTTCTCGGAATCCAGATTTAGCATCTTTGTGGGCACGCATGTGATATCCATACCAATATAATACAAAAACGCGGCGTGCATATGTGTACATATACATTTATATATATATATATGTATGTGATTATTTATATATATATATGTATGTGTGTGTGTGCGTGTGTGTGCGTGTGTTTGTGTGTGTTTGCGTGTGTGTGTGTGTGACAAAAGCCTGTAGGTATGTATGTATATTTGTATTATATTTGTAGGTGTGCACATGTATATATACGGATGTGTGTGTGTGTCTATATACAATGTAATACATGTAATATAGACTGAAAAACTGTATGTTTCGTCTTTCAGAGAAAGTCGCGTCAAAGACTCTAACTTGCTCTCTGCACTTTGGCAAATGCTCTGACTCCGACGGTGTCATGCAGCCTTGCAGCGGACCATGCGTTCTCTCTCTCTCTGCTGGGAGGAGCACATTTCATGGTGCTGAATATGTGATGGATTGTGATGGCATATCTTTACCAAGCAAATGTCTGGGATCGCAAGAAATACAGGTAATAGGGGCTCCTTTGTTGATCCTTGATCCATGTCCCAAGATGTGAAAATGTCCCATCCTCACCACGCCGCTGGCCTAGAACGCCAGAACGCTCATGCCCGGCCTGCCCGGCCGCTCTCCGGACACCTGACAGCCGCTCCAGCGGACAACTTTGAAAGGGGCATAGGCATAGGCAGGACCGGACCGCCCTGCCTCCAGTGATCCTTCACAGCAGAAGCCACCACCTCAGGCAGCTTGACAGCCAGGTAAGTCTGTTGCACCTGGATCATCCGGGATCCCATCGGCCCACAAGAGATTTTCCCACTTGCGAAAGAAGTTGCCACCAGCATCACCAAGACATCCAACACATCGGACAGTATGGGTCCAAGAGGCACAAGCCGCCAGAATCACAACCACTACAGCGCAGGAAATCAAGGGTTCAACTTCCTGAAGGGATGATGGAAAGGTCAAAGCCTCATGACCTTGACAACATTTGACAACCTATTAGTCTATTTAGATCTATTTAGTCTCAAAGGGCCCAAGTGGTCATCAAAAATCATCAACTAAAACTCTCCTGCAGGGTTGAGACATTGAGACCAGCTTGTGGTGGTTCTCATGCAAACACACATATTAATTTGTCCCCAACCCATGATGGAAATTCAGACTCTTTGGTCTGTGCATCATCTACAGTAATGTGGTAAACCAACAATAAACCTACAGTAGTGGGAATGATTTTTACAAACCCATTTATGGGAATATAGTATAATATAGTATCGGGCATTGGTGGATGATGTTTGTGGGACGGCCTAAGGACGGGTCGTTGTTCGTTGTTCCAAGGTGCCCCATCTCGGCTGTAGAGATATCATCAAACATCTACATACGCTACAGTATTGTATTATTATACATTAACATCATCAGCTTAACCAGTATTATACATGAACATTACAATCATTACAAATGAAAGGATCAACAGAGCCAGCATATCCAACGTATAGCATTTTTCTTGCGAATCCTTTACCATCAGCCCACTGCCAGGTGGCCACGAGTGGTTGAAGCACCATCTCCAAACCAAAAAAGCACAGCACGAGGCCAATCCCATAGTGCAGCAGCGGAAAGCAGGACAGCATGTCCTGGTGCATGGCCATGCTGTCCAGCAACCATGGAGAAAAAAAATATACATCTACTGGAAAGCAGCGCCACAACTGGGTTCTTCAAGTGGGGCATGTACATGATTTATATACATTAATCATCATTAATCTACATGATCACATAGATTCCATTGCATCGCATTCCCGCTTAGCCACCAATCCATGAAGCCTCAACCAGCCCATGCAAATCTGGCATGCTTGCCATATAGCATCATATAGTTAACTGTAAATTAGAGACACCTTGACATTCTTGGAGGGTAGCAGATTTCATTTACATCGGAAGTCAATCCATATCATCCAACCCGACACCAAAGTTGCTGGTTAAACCCGTACACAATAAAGTTGATACGGGATTGATTTGCTTTATATCATCCATAAAGATCCATAAAGTTACTGGTTAACCATGGTTACCCTCTGGTGAACTAACATAGCAATGGAAAATCACCATTTTTGATGGGAAAATCCACTATAAATAGCCATTTTCCATTGCTATGTTAGTTCACCAGAGGGTAACCAGTACACACCCATGCCAAAGAGTTCTCCAGGGCCATCCACTGAACAAACCCATCGTGACAGTCGTGACACGACACTCGTCCTGGCTCAAAGCGAAGAGCTCCGGGATGAGAAAGGTCGCTAAGGCCGACGAGCTGAAACCTCCCCAAAACCAGGGAGTTGTAAGCTGCAACATGATATTTGACTGATTTCTGCATGTGTATGTATATTAGTTAGTTGTATATTACATATCTATACATATGACGCACCTTTGCCTCCTCATTCCCCCAGCACGCGCAGCTTCATTTTTTGCTGGGGCATCTCTGAGTCTAACACGCAAGTCGAGTGCAAGGACGGTAGGATTTGGCACGAGGCTTTGAAAAGATTGCATCAATTGCTAGGCAATGAGGCCACTGCATGTGTTTGACAATGCAGAAATCCAAAAGAAGAGGTTGGCAGGGGAGGTGGAGGTGAACATGAATGCTGGAGTCGGTAGGTTGGTCATGAGATCATGACGCACCTTTGCCTCCTCATTCCCCCAGCACGCGCAGCTTCATTTTTTGCTGTGGCATCTCTGAATCTAACACGCAAGTCGAGTGCAAGGACGGTAGGATTTGGCACGAGGCTTTGAAAAGATTGCATCAATTGCTAGGCAATGAGGCCACTGCATGTGTTTGACAATGCAGAAATCCAAACTTTCCAAACATCCCGAACTAGGCTCTGATCATAGATTGCGGGCCGCCCAGGGAGCTTGTCCATAGTTTCGACCCAAAATCGAACCCATCACCAAACAAATCAAATGCATAACCATGTGGAAGCTATTTGACTGACCATCTATGGGCAGCTGGTCATTGTATAGGGTTTGGACGGCGACTGCCGCCGGTGACAATGCTGAATCTACCTGTTGAATGGCTTCGTCCAGAATTGAATCCAAAACCATGGTGACCAAAGCTACGGAACGGCGAAACACTGTCTTCACCATCAGGACTGTCACCTTACCACATAGCACTGAGAAGTTCGGCCTGGAACACACGACCAGCAACATGAAAATCAGAAAAGCAAGCTTGAACTTTGAGGATTTCTGGGCCCAGCGGATGGCTCCAGTGCGAAGCCAAATCCCCCATTCAGAGACCCACTTTCGGTCTAGTTTTCCACTCGAGCTGCTGTCAGACTTACTATCTGGTTCTTCTGCACCATCTATAAGCTTCGAGGCCATGAACTGGCGACAGTACTGCATGAACCGAGGGTCTCCCCGGTAGGCTTTAGCACTTTTTGCGATCTCTACCTCCGGTAGGTCGCCATAGCATGCACCTTTCAAAGGACCACCGCTAACGGTGATCTTTCTCATCTTTTTCACTCATGCAGGCCCAGTCTCGGCATGCGCGGATGATTCCTTGCCCATGGCAGTTGAAAGGCTTTGAGACAACTAAGTGGTGACCGGGTAAATGCGTCTGCAAGAATCCCGGCAATTGCAAAAGAAATGAACCACGTTGTAAAAGACTCTGAACTTTTTCAATGCTCCGCTCCTGCATCTGTTGAAGGATTTGCTGCGACTTACCAACCTGCACATAGTGTTCTAGTGACTGGGCACTAGCCCAGCGACCTTGGAGCCTCAAACGACCTACGTCCATGTGAGTGTCGAACAAACACGTGGCGCCTCCAGCTCGCAGGGATGCAGGCGTAAACTTGCAATTGGCGAACTCCAGCTGTGCAGTGAGCTCTTTGAAAAGTCTTCTAAACTCAGTATGTGAGTGCTTCCACAACATCTCATGCGGCTGCAGGTCAGAGCAACACCAGACCACCCAGTTACAAACATCTGGCTGAGAAACTGTAGTGAACTGACTGGTCCCTAACTGTCTGAAGTTCTTAGGCTTAATGATAGAAATGGTTATTGCAGGCATTGCAAATGTCAAACTGTTCGGTAAGTTCACATGCCGACGCTGCAAATTTAACAACTCACCAGGCCTAAGAAGTCCGAAAAATCCAAGGCCCAGAAGCGCACTCACCCTCAGCATTTTTTCAGACTTGGAACGACTGGTCTCAGCCTCCATCGCCACAAGGCGTGCTTGGCATATCATGGCTATCAAAAGAGCTAATGGAAGCGGTGTCCGCATACTAGACGGCAAACTCTCCTCCCAAGCCCGGATGGTATCCCAAGTTCTCCTCAGTTTGTGCTTTAGATCTGGGCGCATGACTTGAACAAAGAGTATGGCATGTTTTGTTCCACGCATATTCACTCCAGATTCGTTTTCATTGTGACAGGCGGTCACAAAATGCTCCAGACATTCATCGATCGCAGAGGATTGTTGCTTGATGAACTTTGACCAGCTCAGCCCGTGTTTTTGCAAAAAACGGTGAAGTAGCTCACCTCCGCTGAGAAGCCTTCTTCTGTAGGCCTTGCTATATTTGTTTAATCTTAACCGACAGCTCTCCATGGCCAAGACCTACCGTGCACCATTTTATTTAAAAAACTTAAAGTTGCATATTTTTTCATGTCTGTCCTGTCATGTAAAAAACTATTGCAGTCCTTGCACACTTTAGTCTCTGAACAAATCCAAGCAAATACTATGATAGCGCTGACACAAAGCGCTTGGGTATGCACCTGCTAATGTGGATCTTCGTTGCCACCCGCTCTTTGTTTTTACTCCACCAATCACCTGCACATGACTGTGTGAGCCTGAGCATTTTTTGGCTAGACGGCCCAGTCCGGGTAAAGTGCCTGCGAAGGTGGTGGCTTTCCTAGCTAACCCCATCCTATTATTTTCATCAGGAATCTTTAACCCATATTGACATTGGTCCAAATTGACACAATTGCTCGATGTGCAGTTCAACAACTCGACCAAGGATGACATGTGCCATGCGTATGAACTTTTTGGATTTTCAATAGTAAAGAAAGATCCATGGGCATGCAAGATGGAACACAGCATCACGGTCCTACGCAAGATCTCATTCCCCTTTATTTCACGCATGAGGGTATTATTTCCTTCAGGGTTATTATGACTACGGGTACCTTTGTTTAGACCCTGCAGAATTGAGAAACTGCCGCACGGCATTCCAAAGTGCCATATCTGACGTGGGTTCTTCGCGTCTTGACAGAGTTGCTTGAATGTGGAATCGCACAGGATATCATGCGCTGAAGAGGGTGTCCCCTTTTGAATCAACTCAACTGGTGCATCGACATTGATAAGCCCCTTTCCCCTGAACACGCCCGTCAGATGTCCTTTACCCGCAAAGATCTCTCGAAAGCTCCAGTGCTCCAAAGCAGGATGCCTATCGCATCTTGCTGCTGCATCCAGCCGCTGGGACTCATGCGTCACTGCGATCTTGTCACCTAAGCGTCTGTTTTTGGCACGCTTATGGATTTCACGGTTTGACTTACGATTCTGCAGTTCAGCTCTTTCTGTAGCAGGCATGAATCCTAACTGGGCTGCGAGAACTGGATTATTGATCTCGGGATCTGGGATTGAGACCCCTCGTGACGGGTGGTCGGCAGGATTACTTTTTGTTCCTACCCAAACAAGGTGTAAAGACTTTTGACCTACGATGGACCATCCAATCATTGATCTTAGTATGCGATTCAGTTGTTTTGAGGAAGACCGGCCTTTACTTACTGCACCTACCACCACTCGGGAATCCACCAACAAAACCGCACGATATGGGTCATTGGAACTTTCAACTAACTCTTTGAGCTCTGACTTAACCATCTTAAGCTCTAGAATGTTGATATGTTGCTTATGGTTGAACTTACACTTTTCAGTGGTCGACCAGCAATGCGCTCCCATCAAGGCTTCAAGTTCGGCTGGTGCTTCTGACATTTTTGAAGGAGGTGCCAAGGCACCGGTTTCCCAGTCCAAACGCACATGCTCACCTGAATGCTCACTGTACCTATATAGTGTCTTGGCGATAGCTTCTGATGTGAAGCATGCCGCCCTGCCACCCCCCGAAAGCGAGGCGTCTGACGCGCCAATGCGCGAACTGATTGGCCATCGGATGTTGGCATGCATTAAGGGAAGGCACAGCGCCATCCAGAGAAGTTCTTCGCGGACATTGTCAGGGAGTCTATATTCTTTCTTGGGTTTCATCTTGGTTATGAATTGATACACCTCTTGCAACAATGACATGAAAATGCGGCGGTGCATGGCGGGATGCACTAATAGCCCTACAGCCTTTTGAAGCAATTTCTGAGTGACGAATCTGAGCTGACAAATTTCAACAATCAGTTCCCCTACTCCTTTCAGCTTCTCACTGCTGACCCCGACACGGCCGCTCTGGCTACTCACGCTGGTGCCCCATGCGCAAAAGTCTGAACACTTGGTAAATTGCTTTTTCTTTGAAATAGGAAGTCCTAGTTCTTGATACTTTTTCCTGCTACGATCTATCAGTTCTTCATCCTTGAACTTGGACCTACTTTTTCGAGTTCTGCGATTGGGCAAAATCTGCATCACCAAATGATCATCGATATACAGCCCCTCCAGTGTGTGCTTTGCTGGAACTATCTTCTTATAGGCTAAAGTCTCGTTTTCTTGCATGGCCCCACAATCTTTCAAGATCTGCAAGTGGGTTTCCTGAGCAAGATCAACTGCATTGCAATCCCCCATTGGAATGACCCTGAAAGATAGCATGTACTTTTTACCTGGAATACCTCCCCACTCTTGAAAATTTTTGCCATCAAAAGGTGTACCTACGCAATTTCGACCCAACCATTCATCATTATGCCTAAGCAAATAGAAGAAATTGGATAAATCGTCACCAGAACCTCGGATGGAATAATCTTTGGGGAGTATAATCTGTGTCAACAGGCTACCATGAGGTAATTTGGCCATCACAAGTCTATGTTCTAATTCATTTTGGGGTCTTCGGTCTAGAATGACCCTGTCCGACTCTGCCTTGTGTGGAACTGCGAACAGTCCCCCTGAGACGATGTTACCAGCTGAGTCACGGAGGGCTAAATCAACTGGCAGTAGACAGGCCACGCCGGATGCAAGCAGTTTTTGATAGACCGCGTCGCGATCACATGGCATGACTTTGAAAACTGCTTTGGTGGGGCGAATTGGTTCATCACCATGAGGCGCCCATTCATGCATGGTCTCAAATGCTCTGAGGTTATCACCCTTTAGGAAGTCCTTAGGATCAAGAATACCTGCCTCGGCTGGGAGGGACATCCTATCGGGTTTAACATTAGTGGCATTATTCATGAGTTCTTCCATGGTTTGTGCAAGCTGTTCATAATTTGAATTATTAGGACGGATTTTATGAATTATCTCTTCTAATTTCTGAGTTCCACGGCTTAAGGGTTCCTGGCACCTAAGCTTTACGAAACTATGAATTTGTTCATGCAGCAAGCCGGCATATGCTTCATGTTGCTCAGACCAACCAGCAGTGAAAGCTCTCTGAGCTAAGGCTGTTTGTTCTTTCTCGGTAGTGGGACTGCCTCCTTCTAGAAAAGTGAATAAACACCAAACCATTTCAGTCCATTTCCAAGACAACTTCCGGCCTCGCCCCGACTTAGCATTCTTACTGCTGGTATCTGCCACAACTGAAGCTGGCAAAACAAAGCGGGACGGAAAGAGCTTGAATCTCCCCGGTGAAGAGGAGGTCACTTGCCCCAAGCCCGACGTGGGCTTTCCATGCATTTTTCTAAAAAACCGACCAAAGGCACCGTGGCTCTTACCTAGTACCTCAACTGTCGAATTGGCCCCTATCTTCGTAGGAACCGCATCCATGTTGCCATCACGGCGACTCACGTGGTCTCGTTCTCCTTGGGCTCGTCGCTCTTCTTGCCTTTGCCCTTGCCCTTTTTCTTTGTGTCTTTCTTGCCCCCTCCTTCGGGTTGATCTGCGCTGCCACTCGGACCTCCCCAGCTGCTGGCACTGCGAAGCTTCTCCGTATTCTTCTCCAACTCCGCCATGCTGCGGAGGTAAGAGGTTACCTGTGAGAGCTCTTCCATGCTGCCCCCAAACTTCGCCTTGCTGATCGGATCGCTCAGATGCGTGAGCATCCAGCTCACTGACCAGTCCCCATTGTCGAGCGCTGTTTGGTGAACGCTCTTCAAGCATAGAACTACTTGAAGCGCAGCTCTCTCCCACTTCTCGCGAAGCATCAACTCCAACACCTCTGCGAACATGTGATAGCATCGCTGGAGGGTCTTCTGTTTGCCCCAGGGAATCCTCTTGCTCCCCTCGTGGATGCGGAAGGGACGTCCTTCCGCACCCAACTCTCTTTCCAGATCCTTCACGAAGCGGCGAACGTACCTCAGTGGGTTCTTCTTCATCTTGCGCTTGGCTGCCTCGAAGTTCTCCACTGCTCTTGCGCCTCCAGGTTTCTTGTATTTTTCTTTCCCGGAACTGCTGGCACTGCCGCTGGACTCGTTGTCGTCGCTCCAACTGTCTTGATGGCTGCGACGATGACGTTGGCCTCGTTGAAGATCTTTGTAGACCTGCAGCGTGACCCAAGCTCTGAGTGGATCCTGCTCGGTCGCTACAGTTTTCAGCATCAGATCTCTGCCTTGGTGATGAGAGACAGTCTCTTTGTCCTTCAGCTGAAGAAGCGAATGGCGGCCGCTTCTCTTCTCTGGTCCGCTGCGTCTTGCGCCAGGCGTACCCTTTTCTTGCCATTTCTTTTTCAGCTGTGCCAGAGCATCTCCAAGGTCTGAGTTTTCTGAAGAGCTTTTCTCGCTGTCCTCCTCCTCGGAACTCGATTCCTTTTTGAAGGACGGTCTCGATCTCCTGGTGCTTCTCTTCTTCTTTTGACTCTCCTCCTTGGTGCTTTCTCCGGCTGACAGAAAAACCATCTCGTTCTCGCTGGCTAGACATTCCTGCCCCTTTGACTGGAGCTCCTGGAGGTCTGTATCCAGTCTGAGGCATTCTTTCCCTTCGCAGAAGGCCATGAACTTGTTGGGCGGGCACCCCAGCAGGTAGAAAACTTTCCCACTGATCTCTGTCTGTGTCATTCCCTCTGGAATATCTGATCTTCCTCTTGCACGAATCAGGAGCTGCAGCCATCCGTTGGAAAAACCCAACAAGAGGGCCTCACGCCAGGCTGGTCGTTCACTATCGACCAGCTTCACGAATCCCGTCCGATGATCTCCACCACGTTCCATCCGTGCACTGAGATTTGATCAGTGTCTAGATGGAAACGGTCAGACTCAGCCTCGAAAAGGGTCACAGCGTGTCCTATGTCGTCTGCACGACGCCACCTGATTCCTTCAAATCGTCCGTTGTTGAGTTCCAACAAACCACGATATGCCACTAGCCCGATCGACCAGTGGATTCCAGAAAATCGCTCACCCCAACCGGGCACTGACCAAACAGTATAAACCCGCAGCTCAGGATGATTCAAATCGAAACGGTTGGGTACCAATTGACGACACCCCAGTTGTTGATCACCTGAGTGAATCACAAAAACACTTGGGCCCCCAATCAACGGCCGTGCCAGTGCGGAAACAGTTTCTGGCGGAGGCTGTTGAGCTGGCACAGGTTGCTCAGGCAGCAGGTGACCTAAATCTTCTGAGCTGCTGGCAGATGGTGACCTGGAGGCCTCACTGGACTCTGTTGGAGCACCTTCCGGTTCGGGCTCTTCCAGGCCACCACTGTCCCTATGGCGGCAACGACAACCTATCAATGACCTGATCCACTTGAACATGAATGCTGGAGTCGGTAGGTTGGTCATGAGATCATCTACACACATCTACACACATGTGCGTGTCTGTGTCTGTGTCTGTGTCGTCACGGCCACTCCGTGTCGTCTGCCAAGTGACCAATATAGGTGTTGGGTATCTCCTCGATCTTCGTCAGGACCACATCAATATCCAGCAAGAAGTCGGCTAAGAGAAGCACGCAGGTCACCACATCCAGGATTGGGACCTTGATATCTTTCTCCCGAAGCACCAGAAATCCTCCAGGGTTCCCATTTGGAGATGCCCCACGTTTGGTGTTGGGATCCGACATGGCTAGGTTGCAAAATTCTGACCGTTTGCGGATGATGTTCTGATTTAAATTGGGGCTTCAAAACTTGGATATGTTGTCCTTTCATGCCGTGAAAGGCCACGCTTCAAGGCACACAACTCAGAAAGTCCTGCATCCGAGTGCCCGTCCATGTCAACTCTGTTTCCAACCACATTCCTGGCAATACGATCATGCACCCGCGTACAACGACAACGTGCACCAGTGCCAAATATACTAACTCAAGCAGCTCAAAGCAACTCCACAAAATTGTGGGTGAACTTGCTAAATCTCATTGCCTCATTTGCATCAAACTAGCAAAGTAGCCCTCCTTCTGCACCCAGACGCCTCAACATGTCTGCTGCAGGGCTTTGCGCAGCGTCTGAAGTATCAGAAGCACCTCGGCCAGCATTGACTTCATGTTAGGCAGCAATGGGTCCTACTGCAATACTAATATATATTATTTATATATATATATATTATATATATATTATAATAATGATATAATGATAATACTAATGGTAATAATAATTAATAATAATAACAATTAATAATAATAATAATTAATAATTGATAAGAATAACAATAAATAGGAATAATAATAAATAAGAATAATAATAAGAAATAATTAATAATAAATAATAAGAATAAGAATAAATCAAATAAGAATATTAAGAATAAGAAAAATAATAAGAAAAAATAATAACAAGAATAAGAAGAAGAAGAAGAACAATAAGAGCAAGAAGAATAAAAATAGTTAAGAATAATAAGAAGAAGAAGAACAATAGTAGTATTAATAATAATTATAATAATATATGTATGTATGTGTGTGTGTCATATGAGTCTATGTCTCACATCTATATATATATATATACAATTATATGTATAATTATGTATATACACGCGTACTTATTGATTTACAGCATTTGGCTTTCCACAGGTATCATTACAAATAATATACCGTGTGCGTTTGTGTCATATCTAAAGGCATGGACATACACACAGTGGACGTCCCAACTCCAAATCGGTTGTTCCCGAGCAAAGAGTTCACGCTCCTTCGATTCTGTCAGCGGCAAAGGCACTGGGTGACGGTGCTGACTGTTCCTCTGGCTCATCGATGGAGTGGCGAAGTACTGACACTCCAAGACCAAGCAACCACAAACCTGCTAGAATTGCTAAAGCGAGGAGAGGTAGCAAACCCATGAGAAAAAATGTTGCTCCATGTTGCTCCTGTATCTCCTGTATGCTCCTGTCATATTTGAACATGCCCTCTTGATGAGACATCACCCAACGGCCCGTTCTGTGTAAGACCGTTGCAGGTGAACAATGAAGTTGACAACCCCTCTATTCATCCGGCCAAAGGAGCCGAGCAAATAAGGCAGCAGGACCCAAGAACGCAACCACTGCGCCAAGCCCATATAGAACACTACGTCGAAGCAAATCCTGGAGTCATCACATCAGGCCATCCAACACCTCTATACAATACGGGAGGGAATATGTTTTTCCCCACCTTCATGCACCAAAAATCTATCATTCCCAAGGGCGCAAACAGCAAGCATCAACAATTCCATCACAATCATCACACACCCTCATCTGTTGTGATCTTAGCTACGATAGCAGTTAGGGATGTCACCCAAACATACCCAAAGAACCTCAACTCAAGCCATTGCCTCAGAAAGCTCAATAAGATCTAGGTATTGAAGGCAAACCTAAAGGGTCATCTGCAGACAGGCATCTGCCCCCAGGCAACCAGCACCAGGCACGACACCACCCGCTTTGCGGGGACTAGGAAAGCTTCTGCGATTGCGTGGAAGACGAACACGTTTTCGATCAGGAAGATTAGCTCCAAGAAATACCTGCGGAGCTGCGGAAACGAAACCCTAGGAGAAGAGATAGCCATGTCATGCCATGTCCCTGGAAAGGCTGAGAAGCGAGAAAATCATAGCATTACGAGAACTCAACATCATCCGGATAGACTTGGTGGTATCGCGTGGCCCCTGCTGTCTGTTTGAGATCCAAGTCTCCCAGCCACCCAGTTGGAGCCATGGTGTGAGCCCATGCGTCCGAAAATGATGACCGCATAGATGGCACCTAGCGCCAACCAGCCCAACAGGGAAGTCAAGGGCGCCAGAAGCTGTGAGGATTTGCGCCAGACCAATGCCACACAGGCAGCAACCAGAAATAAGCACCAGTCAAAGATCAAGGCGGCATTGAAGAACTTGTGCACTCCCGCCGGCCCGAATTGTTCCAACACAACTGTCCCTTGGCGTACTTTCCCCTCTGCCAGCTGCATAAATCTCCAAGTCTCTGTCGCCAAACGCGGAAAGTTCGGTTGGGGAGGGTAGTCTCTGACCGGCAGGTCATGCAAACTCCGATTTTTGGGTTTGACCATGGTGACCAAGGTGCCGGGTCTCTGCAGCAGCAGAGGTGCTGAATTCATCGTGCCATTGGGTCTCTGTACTTGCGGCACATCGCAGCCAGGCGCAGCACTCACCGTTAAGCAGCCAAGGCACAGCCCGGTGATGAAGGCCACAGTGGCTATGGAGGCCATGGAGGCCATGGCAGGTGTTACAAATCCATGTCCGGAATGGATACCCACCAAGCAGGGGCATCAAAGATGGGCTTGGGCCACGGTGAATGGATGGCTCAATGAACTGCCATGCAGTCAAAACATCTTGGACAGTGCCATTGCGAGCCAACTTGAAGGTTGATCTCCACCAGTTTGCCTAGAAAATCTAGAAATTCTGGACGTCCATCTGAGATCTGACCAATCCTTCAGGCAACCAGGTCTGGAAAATCCAGACCATGTCTGCACACGATTCTTGCATCTTCTGAGTCTAGTAATGTAGCGCCCAAGCCCCAAAAGACATCCAAAACATCCTGAATAAGTATCCGCAGGAACCCCAATAGTCCCAACATTCTTCTCACTTTTCTCCTGGATCCAAGCAGTCAAAATCCTGATGTTCGGCCCACCTCTGCATAGTCCTCGATCTCCACCGCGGCTCCTCAAAGATCCGAAGGATTCCAGATTGGTGCCACCCCGAGGTTGTCTCATCACGAAGCACCCAACTAAGTCGTTGATCTTGTGTTTTGTGGTTCTGAACCCCGCATTTCATAAGTTATGCATATAATGTGCATGTATATGTATGGTCCAGCGTTCCAACCCCCCTCCCCCCCGGCCATGGTCATGGGTCAGCCATAGTACTGTCCCCCTCCCCCCTGTGGTGTGGTGGGAGTGTGGTATGTGGTACTGTATGGATGGTAGGTATGGTACGTATGTAAGTCTGTTGGGTATGGTATGTTTGATGTGACAGTATGTACGGTCTGTATGGTATGTATGGTTACTATGATAGGTGTGGCAATTATGTTTCATGTGCATGGTATGTGTGGTATGCATGATAGGTATGATAGGTATGGTATGCACGGTCAAAGTTCGTATGGTATGTATGGTATGTATGGTATGTATGGTATGTATGGTATGTATGGTATGCATGGTATGTATGGTATGTATGGTATGTATGGTATCATTGGAATGTATGGTAGGTACGGTATATGTTAAACACATGTATTGTTGTGAGAGTACACAGGTAGTAAAAAGAAAGTGGATATACATAGCACATGTATATATGACAATAGGTAGCACGTAGGTACTTTGAAGGAGCATGTGTGCTACGTAGGTCGTGTAAATGCGAGGCTGGATCTCAGAAATGCTGCCAATAGCTTGCAAATAGAAGGGAAGGGGGTGCTACTTGGGGACCCATACCATTGGGGGGGTGGGGGGGGTAGGAACACGGAACACGAGACCATGTATACGCATGTAGGTATGCAGGTGCGTAGGTATGTGTGTGTGTGTGTAGGTGTGTGCGTGTGTAGGTGTGTGTTTAGGTATGTAGGTAGGTATGTAGGTAGGTATGTAGGTAGGTATGTAGGTACGTAGGTATGTGCGTAGGGAGGTAGGTATGTAGGGAGGTAGGTAGGTAGGTAGGTATGGAGGTATAGCTAGGTATCGCTAGGTATCGCTAGGTATCGCTAGGTATCGCTAGGTATCGCTAGGTATCGCTAGGTATAGCTAGGTGGCTATGTAGCTACGTTGCTAAGTAGCTAAGTAGCTTAAGTAGCTTAAGTAGCTAGGTAGCTTAGATCTAGGTAGCTAGGTAGCTAGGTAGCTAGGTAACTAGGTAACTAGGTAGCTAGGTAGCTAAGTAGCTAGGAAGCTAGGTAGCTAGGTGGCTAGGTAGCTAGGGTAACTAGGGTAGCCAGGTAGTCACGTAGTCAGCATGTAGGTATGTAGGTATATATTGTGTCTTTTGTATTACTTACTATGCATTATAAATGATGTGTACTATATAATATGATATGATATACGATATGATATATGATATGATATGATATGATATATGATATGATATGATAGGATAGGGTAGGGTAGGATATGATAGATATGATATGATATGATATGATGTGTGTGTGTGTGTCTGTGCCATTGGATATGTGTAGAATACATACGTATGATGGGTTCAGAGTATATATGACTGGGGGTCACAAGACTCACAAGACTGGCCCAGACTCACAATTTCTCGGTCAAGAATTTCCATCAACTGGTGGATTCGGATTCCATTCCATTTGGTGGATTTGACAGGCTTATGTGCCTAATATTTCCTGGTTGGGTCCTGGCCCATTTTTTCCCACGACAGAGACCTGAAAGGCCTCATGAGTACAGCATCCTGAGCACCGAACGTTTTCGACTTTCAACGTCAAGTAACTCTTCCAACAAGTGCCGCCTGGGCACCAGGTGGAGCGTGGAGGATGAGTGACCAGCAAGATAATTCACAATAGGATATGGACCAACCAAGATAGGGATTGAATCACTGTGTCCTGAAGCATTCCCCAAATTTTACCAACACACATGAGCAAACAAAAGGGATATCACTTGTGGAAGTGGAGAGCTCAAACACTGGCCACTGGCAACCTGGGCGCTTTCAGCCCAACACTGATATGCAATACACTTGGACAAGCATAAACATGCCAACTTGTCTTTTTTTGAGTATCTACCCCCATCA